TGTAGTACATTTTCATCACCCCAAAATATCAAACTCACAGTTTTTTAATATAAAAATCATGTTAGCTTTTTTTTCTTTTCTAATTTCTAGCATGAAAAGCTGTCAATTTATTAAAAAATCATTACCTTTCTTTTTCACCACTCTCTAATTTAGACATTTAAAAAAAAGAAAAGAAAAAAAAGAAAGATTGTTTAAAGAACAAAAGGCAGATCAATGGACAATATTAGCAATAGATTTTATGAATTCAGTGATTCAGTTTTGTGCTATTAGTTCCATCTTCAAGATGATTGTAAATTTATATATATATATATATATATATACAGTATATATATAAATGAACAAGTATTCATTTAAAATTTATATGAGTTAAGTTTATCCCTAACTAATGTTAGCTCTTTATTTCCATCATATTCACATTTTATTGCCATTATAAAGTAAATAACCTTGACGCTCGTAATTAATCTTCTTTCTGTTGAGTCATTTTAACAATCAGTTAAATCAATAGCAAACATGTGAAGATGCATGTTTCAATTCTCCCATAGAGGTGATGAATCAAAGATACTAGAGTATAGGCTACATGTGTATATCTATCCAATATCTGTACTAGCATCACAGATAGTTTGTACACACAAACTGATTGGTAATCATCATGTCCTCATGTAGCACTGAGGTCAAATGGACCCCGCCACAGCAATATAATAAATCAGTCAGTATGACTGATGTTGACGCAATTCACTGCAAGAAACAGTGTAGAATTTAAAAACATCCATTGGCTGTCTTGACACACTGCCAACATCCTTTAAAAAAAAAGTGATTAAATGTCTGGAAAGAGACCTATTAGCTACAGAAAATGACTCAGTCATTTCAGGCATTTTTCCAAAGCCTATACTTAACAGTTGTTAAGTCCCTTCTAAAAAACAATCCAGAAAACTGCACGCTATACACCGGCAGATCTATCTTAAATCTTCATTTCATAGGCAAAATCAATGTAAAGGCTATCTTCATTTAGCACAACAAATTTGTAAACGCAAACTAATACCTGGACAATTTCCAATATGCTTAATAATATTTGCCTACATACAGATTCAGGCAAATTCCATTGCTGATATAACTAGATCTTAGATACTGTCATCCACAGTATACTCCAAGACCCGGACAACACTCTCTGAGATGGTGCTCAGCTGGTTTAGATAATATTTAGAAAGCAAGGATTACTAATATTAACAACTATAAATCTGTGAGAGCCTCTATGAACTGTGGAGGCCCCCAGGGCTCAGTCCTTGGACCTTTTCTGTTCGATCTGTATATGCTCCTACTATTATCCCCCCAAAAAAAATCTTACCAAAGCTATACTGAATACACACATATCTACCTAGCTCTATCACCAAGCCATTACATCTCCACAGACTCTCTAAGCATGTGCAAAGAATTACATTCTTTGTATCCAAACAAGACCTAGAAAAACTAATTCAGATGTCATATGTTACAAAACTATTTTTTTCTTGCAGTGTACTGTTATACATTTTTTTGCATGTGCCTGTCTGTGAGATAGTAAGCTTTATATATTTGTCATATCTGCTTTTATCTGATTTGATTTACAATATGCATCTGCCAGTTAAGTCAGTATCTGTCCAGCTGTTGTGCAAAAAAAAAAATAATTATATATATATATATACTGTATATATATATATATATATATATATATATATATACACAGTATATATATAATAAAATAAAATACAAATAAATAAATACACATACATAAAACAGAAGGAAGTGAGAGTGTGTTATGTCATGTGATTTTGTTTTGACAAGGTAAATGCAAGCCAACAAAACCACCATCAGAATATTAACAGTTCCTAAAACCAAACCATATAATGTAATTGACACATAATACTTTCATTCACATGTGTAAGCTCAGACACAAATTCACACACATACTCTTTATGCCAAAATCCTCCATCCATCATCAGAGGTAAAGGTTCACTCAACATTTACTACTAATAATAAAAAACATTTGCACAAGGAAATTAACAGTAGGCCTACTTTTTTTTTATTTATGCTTTTTGCGTGTTTTTGAGCTCATTGGAAATGTGAGTTTTTAAACTGTTTAATGTTGTCAGGTTTTACTTCATAAAACAAAGCCTGCTGTGTGGCATCTTTTGTCATGTATCTATTCATTCCCATCGACTGTCGTCACTGCTCCTTGTTGTTAGAGTAGCTCATGGCGGCTGTCAGGAGTGTTTAACTGCATGAGGCTCAAACGAGAAGGAGAGGTGACCATCCTCCCTCTGGTTAGACTCATCCTCACTTTCATCACATCCTCTCTTATTTCTATTCCCCTTCACTCCGGTACCCTTCACACTTCCTGTCCAACTGTCGGACATTTCTGTTCGATTAGAAGCCAACTAGTGATGAATGACTAAAAAAAGTATCAACTTTTATGTTGAGGGAATGCTAGTTGATCCTTCCTGTAGGTGACATTTCGTCATTATTTCATTTTTCCATAACATAGATCATTGTCCATCTCTATAACTCACTTCTTCTAGTCCTTACACTGAAATAAATATTAGTTGTCATACTTTTAGGATTTCAAAAGTGTTACATACCCCCATATGTGTGGCAAAAACAAGCACACAAACAAAAGACCAAGTATCGTTACATGCATTTTTACATTACATTTTTATTGTTTGACTGCTCATACTACAAATAAAGATCGTGTCAAAGGTCATGTGTTACAATTCCCTATCAGAGAGAAAAGATCACTGCACTAAGTGAAGTAAACATTGATGATTTGGTCACACTTTAATTTGGGGACCAAATATTAACTACGACTTTTGCCTCAATAAACTCCTAATTTGCTGCTTATTAATAATTAGTAAGGTAGTTGTTAAAGTCTGTGTGAACCAGAAGTTGCTGCCGAATTTACTTTAGTATTGTGACATATTTCTTAAAATACATCTGAACTCAAAAGGAATATTGAATAGATGACAGGGTTTTATTTTACCGCTTCTCCTCTCCATCTCAGAAAAGGAATGCCGTTCCAGAGCTAAAAATCATTTTCAGATTTTGATTACAGATTACCAAAACATTTTTTTTTCAGTGGATTAACTTGCACAGATTAATTGTTCACCTCAAGACTAATGATGTGCGTTAACAAAGTACATAGTGTAAATTTAGATTTCATGCACATTTTAAGTTTAGGTATGGGGTAGGGTTAAGTAATCAAATATGAGAATATGTGCTTTATGAGTACTAATAAACAGCCAATATGATAGTGATATGCATGCTAATAAGCAACTAGTAAATAGTGAGAATTGGTCCCTAAAATAAAGTGTTATAGATGATTTTGATCTACAGTGCATCTTAATTAGACGATGTGTCTGAACGTAACAAAGAGACACAATGACAGAAATCATGAAAAATTCCTACAGAGAAAGCCTAGATATGAGCAATATAAAAAGTAGAACAGCACTGTAGAATCCACAGGATATCCACACTGGCAGTAAAATATTCCATTAAAGTAAAAAAAACAAAAACACTACGGTTCCAATATTACAAGTATGCATAACAGACAGTTGGAATATTCAGAATGAAAACAGCAGGTTCTGGAAATACATATTTAATTATTTTGCTTGTTATTTTCCCAGCACACTATTCCCTGTTGATTCCCTATAATGGTGGCAAGAGCATCAGCGCTCACTTACACTTCAAAATAAATAAATAAATAAATAAAGCTGTCAGTCGTGTTTGTTGGTGTTGTGATATTTTTGTTGCTCCAGTTCTGGCCCTGTGTCGCTAAGCTCTTGTGGGAAGTTAAAGAGCTTTCTCTCACGCCGAAAGTAAACATGAAATGCTTCTTCCTTTAGAAGAGATGCATTTTTGCTCAGTTGTTTGCACCAGTAATTTTCATATCGATGCCCTCTTTTTGAAATGTCTACATGAAAATCAAAATGTCTTTTTCAGGGTGGACAAAAGTAATTCAACTGTTTGAATGAATTCAGATCAGGATATACAGTATTGTTTAAAACGTGTTTTCAATATTGCACTCTGTACTTAGAACATGCAATGGACTTTTTGAGAGAAAAAAAAGGTCTAAAGTCTGAACAAACATGGAAAAATAGAAATCTGAAATCAACACAGTGACGCTGTAACACCATTATTTAGCTTGCAACATTGTGCTTGTGGGCCTTAAAGAGGGTTCTGTTTGTATTCCCTCTGTCGGTTTGTGTTGAAGTATAAGTCATGACATCAATCGTTATGTTTACTAACAATCACTGTTACTGTAAATGCACACTTTTCTTTTAGATCTAAATCTAAAGAGATGTTTTCTTAAGTGCATTTTTCAGAACAGACATGAGTGTCACTTACTAGAAATCTATGCTACTATTTTTCAGTGACATCTTGGACACGTCCGTGTGAATAGTGGACATGGCAACCATGTCATATTCATTTTCCCGTACTGACACAATCTTGCAGAGTCGGAAAGCCCGGAGGTCCCGCTGGAAGTTGTGGTTTAGGAAGCCGTAGAACACCGGGTTTATGCAGACCGAGCACATCGCAGTCAAGTGACACAGCGAGAACAGGAGATTGTGGGTACAGTTCATAGCCACTTCATGGTTCCAGTCGATGACGGCGTTAAAGACGTTCAACGGGAGCCAGCAAACCACAAATGCCACGACGATGGAAAAGAGCATGATGTTTATCCGTTTAGTCTCACTGCTACGGTATTTGTTTTCCCGTATTCTGTCCATCATGTTATTACGCCGCTGCAGACGAGTGTAGATCTGAGTGGAAGAGAAGAGGGGGACAGAGAAACAATTATTAATTCATATCTCACATTAGAGTGTTTCTTCAATCACAAACACTTTTGGCCCGGTGGACATTTACAAAATTATTATATAATTTATTTAATGTCATAAATTATATTTGCTGCTACAATTTCAAATGGTAGTCTAAAAATGAAAACCTCACTGGCCACAGTAACTGAAAAAAAAAAATTACATTGGCAAAGCATTTTTTAATTATGAAATATACTAAAAACCGGTCAATAAGCAAAAGTACCTCACACATAACACATGTAATATTCAAGTAGAGGTAATTATTATCATTACCAAATTAGATATAGCAAAGCAACATTTTGTTCAATTGCAATATGATTCAATACATACGTACAGTACATTAAACTACTGACACATTCCTATTTGTTTGTTTGTATATAATGTGGATTAGGTAGCTCATAATAAATAAATAAATACAATTATGGCTTAAATATTATGGAGCTAAACTCTGCAGGACATTAAAAAAAACTAATTGCAAAACAAAAAACTGAAAAAAAGTGTAGATCTGACTGGAAGGGGGACAGGTTTGGGAATAATCATTTATTCATATTTTATATAAAGGTGTTTCTTTAATAATGAATGCTTTTGGCCCTGTGGACATTTAGAAAATTATTTTAATAATTCATCCAATGTCAAATCCTGCAATCACTGTATCATAAATGATTTTTGCTACTACAATTTCAAATGATAGTAAACTGAAACTTTAGCAACATTTGTTTAATTATGAAGAAAGAAAGAAATCTTAAAATGAAAAATGTATACAATTTAATACAAAATAAATAACAAAATCTGTAAATAAGCAATAGTACCTCACACATAACAGATGCAATATTCAATTAAACGTAATGAATTAATATCATTACCAAATTAGAAATAGCAAAGCATCAGTTTGTTCAATCACATTATGCATCAGTGCAGACGTACACTGATTAATAATAATAATAATACATTTAATTTATAGTGAGCCTTTCTTACACTCAAGGCGCTACAACATAACACTAAAAACATAACAATAAAATAGAAGAATAAAACACTACTCCAAATAACAACCTTCAATTAAACTATCATTGACTAACTGACACATTCCTGTGTACAAATATACACAATTGTTTTTTTGTTTTTAATTATGGTTAAAAAAGTTAATGAACATGAAATATTGAAATGGTTTGTTTACTTCACTTTCTGTTTAAAGTATCATAGTTTTAAACATGTACTAATTAATATTTTTTGATGAATTTGCATAGTTTATAACTGAATGTCTAGGTCTTGGAAAAGAGTAAAACAATAGTTTTAGTTTTAGATTTGCAGTCTAAAATCAACACCCTCCACCAAGAAGCACAGTACACCACCTTATAACACACTCGCCGAAGCTCATAACTATAGCTGACCTGAGGGCACACCATCATTAAGAGCACAGTGGGGGAAAAGCTGCTCTGACATTTCAGGCGATGATCTTTGTGTGTTTGTGTTTTCAGGCTCTGTGTCTTTTATATTATTGAGTCAACACAAACCGACAGAGGGAATACAAACAGAACCCTCTTTAAGGGCCACAAGCACAATGTTGCAAGCTAAATAATGGTGTTACAGCGTCACTGTGTTGTCACCGAATGTTAATGTGACAAATCAAGGCGAATGCACAAAGATTTCCCTTATTCCACTCTAACAACAAACAGAAGACAGGTAAAAAGAAAGAGACACTGGGAGGCAGAGGTCAAAGTATTGCTGGTTTGCATGGACTTTTTAGCTCCTACTGGTAGATATTGGAATTATATCTGGCTTTATAAAGAGCATCTTTCTCCAATGACAACCATTCAAATCTTTTCTAACTACATTTTTTTTTTCAAGCAACATTCAAATGTAAACAAATATATTTAATTGTATTTTGATGTTTTCAAATCATAATATATCATGCCAGGTGTTTTTGAGCATCCAGGGGCTCTGTGCTACATTGTTGTTTGTTTGTTACATACACTGTTTGTTTGTTTATTTATTTATTTCAGTGTTGTTATTGTTAACTAAACCTAAAGCTATTTAAAAAATAAACAAATTTTCTTTGATTTGAATTAAGCTGAAATAAAATAAAATATAAATATTTTAATTTAAAAAAAATCAACTTAAAAATAATAATAAAAAATAAAATTATTAATGTTGCCTTGGAAACTAACTGGAATAAACAGATTTAAGTTGAAGTACTATATATTAAATTAACTGAAATAAATAAATTAATTAAATAAATGCATTAGAAATATTTATTAAATGTATTTTTAATGTAATAAAATAATTTAATCATTTAATAAATAAAATGCATTAAATATGAAAAATAAAAGCTCATTTCAAATATTAATATATAATAGTATCTAGTTAATAATACTAAAATAACACTGATATATTCACATTGTTACAGAATTTTTCAAATGTTCCAGTAAGCGCAATGTAAAACCAAGCAGTTTTTGTTAAGCTCATTATAGAACACTGATACAACATAAATACATATCATATTAAACATACCATAAAATGTTAGTCTTTACAATAAATTCGGCCCCAAAACGCAACTTAGATAAACCACATTTCAACATTTCCCTCAAAATGTTCTATAGAAACAAAAAATAATGTAATAATTTGCGCAGTGGCATTAATGGTTAGTTGTGTGAGTTTATAGCTATGGGACAGAGCTGTGCTGTTGTCAAAAGCCTTGTCTGTCCACTAGAACAGAACATCTGTATGAGCTCCGCCCAGTGCATGTGCATACACATGCCTTATTAGCATGACAAGATGAATGAATTAATCATTAAACAGATCAGAGTCTTGCAAGCACAGCTGACTCCAGACTCCTGTTCTCTCCTCTTTATTTCTAGCTCTCCTTTCCTCTGATTTTCGTTCTCTCTTTATTTGATGAATGGCAGCCGTGGCACAGAGTCCTGTGACCTGAAATAACTGCATGACACAAAACCCAGAGGCAGAGAGAGAGAATGAATACACAGACTGAGATGCATGTGTTCATAACTTATTATTTACTTCAGCTCACATTTGAAAGCCAGCATTAACCAGACTGAAAGAATGAATTTGTATACAGTGTGGTATGTAATTTGTAGGTTTGTCTCCATATCCAAATTATTTCCATGGAGAGCTGGCTTTGTTTAGTGGGCTGATTAAATGTGATCCTAGGTCGATTTTACTGACAGCTGAACAAAAGAAGTCCCTCAGTCATTAGGACTCATAAAGTCGTTGGCTATACAGAGAGAGAGAGACTGATCTGATGCAATCCCACAGTTGCTACCCTGACCGGACAGCCAGAATCTTTGTTGGCATCACATTCTGAAGTATTGGACCGTGGGATGGTTGGATGACAGTAGCACCTAAGGATCCAACTGAATATAAATGCTTCCGTGGTAGTGATTGACCGAAATATTAGCCAGGGCCATTAAATTGCTGGTACATGGCTATTTTGAGATCGCCTGTTACAAAATAAATCAAAATCTACTAACAGCGCTGTCAGCGAATAGCACATTTTCTGCTTTCAAATATTGCGTTGAATTTTTCCATACAGCAAAAAAAAAAAGAATAATAATATTTTGTGACCAAAATATATTTTAAATATATGCCAAATCTATGTTGTAAATTTAGAGTGAAGCTCAATGATATATATATATATATATATATAATTTTATATAATTTATAATGTAATAATATAATTTTTTTTTTTTTTTTCTTAATTTAATTTAAAAAAATATATTTAAAAAAATTGTATATTTTGAAATATATTTAAAAATTTGAATGGGAATTAAATATGATGTAAAATAAGTGTTGATTTAAATAATGTGAAAATCTAAGCACACCATATTTACCATTATTACAGTTCAACTTCAGCTTTGTCTTTTTGTTATATACATTTCTTTTTTGGCATTATTTTACCACATCGTAAAAAGATAGTAAACTTTGTTTACCAAGGAGATGAAAGTGGATGTGAATTATGAGACATGACAAAAACATGAAAAATCAAGGTAAATATCGAGGTGAATATATTATGGTTCATTTCAAGCTAGCTAGCAAATTATGCAAAAAGTGTGAAAATATTAATTATGTGTATTCAGGAAAAGCTAGCTATGAAATTAGACACCAAAATGTGATTTACATCACCATCATCTCCACCACAGAGTGTTGTCAAGCAAAATACATCATTTCAGATGTATGTTTTCATGGCTCTAATAAAACATGTCAGAAATGCATGTGTCCACTGTTGAACAAATTAAACAGACTAGCAAGTGTGTGAAAGTGCTTTTGTTTTTCTGTGCTGAAATTTGGTCCAAACCACAAAATTTTTTTTTAAATGAGGCCAGCAGAGACAGGAAAAAATGAGTGAGGAAGAGAAATTAGACAAATATGGATATGTGTGCATGTGGGTGTAAGTGCTGCTCCATTTCTAACCGCCCGTGCTTAATTGGGTGTAAAAGTGACAAGCATCCTTGACAAAAACTCAGTCATTTGACTTGAACACCAACAAACGCTCAACAGAACTTGACAATCTGAAGAGCGAGCCATCGTCATAGTGACGGCAGAATGCTCATTCTGTCACCCCACACACGCATTTGAATTTTTACAGCATAATAATCTCCATATTAAACCCATTACTGGGAAACGGGAGCTTCCTTTCCATTCACACTGTTCTTTACACGTCATAAAGTTTCGAATCCTTTGTATCGCAGCATATCTCTCTGTTTCTTGATTATTACTACTATTTTTGTACCCTTTGCGGAGGAGCGATTATGACTCATTCTTGTGATCTTGGAGGCCTTTGAATTTTGAAATGATCTGTTTTTGCACAGACCCTTTCTTCTCATCTTCTATCTCCCTCTTACTCATTTATTCTGCCATTCTCTGACCAATCCCACCCTCTTTCTCTTCTCTTTCAAAACCAGCAGCAGTACTGGGTTTGTGTTGGCAGTGAG